ATATGAATCCATGGTTTCATGTGTTTTCATTACCTCCTGAACCTGTGATTCCACCAAAGACATAATTAATTATCGGGTCCACTCGTGAACGAGGTAGTTAATTTTGTCTTACACGTACTCGAGCTCGTTGTAAAATAGATGGAGCTTCCGTAGTCCAGGAAGCCGCCGTCGTAGGCCACAATACCCGTAGTCCATAGGTTGTTTGGCACGGCATAGTTCAATGGGTTCAGGTGACCGGTGGTAACCATAGGGGCTGCTAGGGCCTTTGGTGGCTACCCCCGTGTGGACAGTGGCGAGAGCGGGCGCAGCGTAAGTCCCCGATCGTACCCTCACGACGCCGCTCCTAAGCGTGGTGAACCCAGATGCTTCTGAGCATGTGCGAGGAGAGCGTGCATGCTGATGGGACAATATGACCAATTCAGCAGGGTCTAGACCTCGTGCTGATCGTATCCACAAAGTTGTTGATGACAAGTTTTTATTTTCAAGTTAAAGTGATAATTTCAACGGGTACGCAAGAGTATTCTAAACACGATCACTACGACTATGTCAACGGTATTGAAATAATACGGAAATCTGAACACCCATAAAAGAATACAGTTCCTCTAATAAGTTCAGAAGGAAGAAATCATGAGATAAAAGCTGGTACCATGCTGATTGCTCGGAATGATTTAAGCTACCGAAATACACAACGAAGGGAATTAGTGAGCAAGTGATCTAAGAAATCATCAAAATCCATCACACTATTACATGAATCACATTAACACAGTTAACACCTACGGTGGCCCTTCATCAACGAAAATAACTAGGATACAACTACGTACAATGTAGACCGCCCAGAAAGATTCAAAAAATGGAGGAATAAGGGTCGTATAGATGCACAGCGATTTGAAGGGTGCAACGATCATTAAATTCATGCACAACTGCACAAGCGTAGGCGCCACATACCTTTCCCCTTTGAATAAAGACTACATCAAAAGACAGGACTAGAAATTACAAACTACGACGAGAACACCAAAGTAATGAGAATGAACGGCGAGGACACGGACTGTGAGACGATTTGGCTCGATGTAGATTGGCCACACATCACCCGAGTCTCTCGTTTTTAGGTTTTAAGGCAAAGATACTCATTCACAGATATATGTTGTAACCATGTAACAGAAACACTTGAAACATTTGTACATAGGGAAGTGAAAACGTATGGTTAATTTTTCGACTGAAACAAAACCTTGAAAACCGTAACACTAGAAATGAAAGCAAAGAATAAAAATATTGAGAAAAAGCGCGGTGTTGTGTACAACAAATACGAAAAAAAATGTGGAATACTGAGAAAAGCTGCCGTAAATAACCGATCAAATGTACAAAGATACATATCCTCTACAGGGCTGACGGATATGAGTAACGAGAATGTGTGGTAACCGAGTTTTGAAAAAAAAATAGTTAGGAGTGATCTCCGGCCTCAACTGCATCTTGATCATTACTCCTAGACTGAGATTCCGCACGAAGAATATTAGCGACAAAAACGGCCAAATCAGCGTTAGTCCAGTAACTAAAATGGCTCTTCAGCACTGACCAATAGCTTTTATCCGTCAGAGCAGGCTGAAATTGAAAACATTAGATTAAATAGAATCCTGAAAAGTAAGTTGCTTGTACCCTAACACTTAGATGTCGCCAAAGAAAAGGAAGAAAAGGACGTGAATATGATGTCACAGATTGAGAAAATAATCAGTTTCATAGGTGATAAGGCATCCTCTGTTCTGAACTCAGAACACAATGCAATTACCTGCAACTGGAAATCCATTCGATGTGGCGGTCGGACACCGTTGCCCAACAGGCGTTCGGCTAGAGGAAGTTCAGACTGGAATGAAATCTAAAGGAATTAATTCAACCACCATCCGAACCAGAGCAATAATGCTTACTTCAGCTTCCTTGGCAACTTCCACGGTTGGTTCGGAAGAAGCGCTCGCAGGAACTGCAGCCTTTTTAGGTGCAGCGGTAGTGAAAGAAGAAAACCACCCTTTTTTTGCTGGTTTTTCTATAGAGGCCGCGTCTCCTGCTACGGGTGGCGTTACACATCTAGGAGAAGAACCTGAAAAAAGTGTATACGAAACTTAGGTAAAGAACGACGCCGCTCGATACATTGAATCAAACACATTTCCACACACACAGAAGTGGAAGTGGAACACTCATTGAGGGGTGTGCACATAGAATAAGAAATAGCTAAATACCAAAAACGAGAACAAAGGAGGCATGCAGAACTAAAAAGCTAATGGAACCCGTCAAGAATGGATATACTACAATTAAACTTGCCAGCTGGAGCAGAGGCCTGCGCTGAAAAAATCCCATCAAAGAAAAGAACTTCGTTTGTTCAATTCTTCAGTGGCATCGATAAACTAGTGTGGTTATACACCATTTACACTTGAATTCTGAGGTCGCAGATGGCCATAAACGCAAGTTCTAATCAGAATATTTGGTAGAGGAAATTTGAGAGTCTTAATCTCTTAAGGTGACTAGCTAGCATTCTTATAGTAGTCATGAGATAATCATACTCTAGAAGCCAAGGCACTATTCCTAGCCTTCGCAGAAGCAGAGTCTACGAAGCAGACTGGACAGGAAACTACAAGAAGAATTATAAATAATTCTATTGCAATAGTAACAACACGACTGATGGTGTTAAAGTCTTCAGAGGCAAACCATCACTCCTTTCAGTCTTAACGGGAGCTGTTAAGGCATTTTGAATTGAAATAAAATTAACGTAATAAAACGACGTTTGTAGCCTACATCCACTCCTGGCGTCGTAATCCGAATCGCAGTCATCTTCTTCATCCATGTCATCATCACCACCGCTTCGAGCATCTTGCTGAAATTGAGGGTTGTTTTCAATCGAGTTCCATGCTATTTCTTCTCTATGTTTATATGTAAATCATGGTGAATGAAATCTGTAGCCACTGATGTGGTAGAGTCTTTTCGTTCCAAAGATCAGAAACTATTGCGGCTGCGAATCGAAAATAGGAAATCTCGGTATGGCTGGTGTCAGAGTCCGCGATCCGCTCTTCGCGATTTTCGCGATTTGCGCGATTTTCGCGAAACCTGCGATGGATCACAGGAGTTGGAAGTGCCCGATGAATACTGCGAGGTGTTGTTTAATCCTGCTGCGAATTCTGCTTGGCAGTAAAGATTGGAAGACGAATGTTTGTGGTTCTACTTGTTTCATGTTCAATGTCTATTAGTTCATTGAAATGCTCTTGAATCGTTCCTATTTTTTTTCAGGAATCAAACCAAACCAATCACAAAAATTGCAAGTGCCCCATTTGAACAATTGAAACACTGGATATGAAACAAGTGGAATCATGAGCAGTCTCCATTAAACCATAACCATCAAGCAGAAGTGACGGCGGGATTGGAGAACACCTTGCAGTATGGATGGGGCACTTGTAATTTCCGTGACCCGTCGCGCAAATCGCGAAAATCGCGCAAATCGCCAAAATCGCGAAAATCGCGCAAATCGCGCGAAAGGATCGCGGACTCTGACATCAGCCTATCGGATTCCACTGATTTTATACTTCTTCTCGCGATGTGATGCTCAATAAACTGCAACGGCGTAACCACACCAGATGACGCACACTTGTTCACGTATTGTTAAAATAAGAGGAATTGAAAGGTGCTTTCATTCGTATTCAAGTAAAGACGGAGGTCACAATTAAACCAGAGCCAATCCACAAAATCAACTGTAGTGATTCAACTATTCCAAAATGCAGACCTTCCTCCTTTTCGAAATGAATAGTAGGACAGTTGCACTTATGCTTACTGCGTTACTCATGAATACAGTGCTTCATCTTGTGCGAAGCCGTTTTAAGACAAAGTGCAGCTCTATTCAAAGACTGTATTAACCACACCGGACTCTGGGAGGGAGCTCCACTTTTCTGAGTGAAATCTGATTTGCCTATAGGAACCACAGCGGTTTCTTTCGAAATAACTGACATGTCAGAATTACGCTGAAATACAATGTTAAGCGTAAATGTATTAACGCAAAATGCACAACGGAAAAGGCAAGGACGGTAACCAGGCTCTTATTCTAGGCGAAGATGCTGGAAGGCCCTTCCCAGTATACGTACCTACAAGGGGTATCCATTATCCTTCCTTCCACATACACTGCGTTCAATAATGATACAGCCACCTAAAATTTGTTCGAAAACTTAAAGTTCATAGAGTTTCTGAAAAACTGTCCAGATAGAAAATGTGACAAATTTCATGGCGAGTTCAGATATCAACACAAAAATCCATGTCGAAAACACTAAAAAATTTTGTGCTTATTTTTTCAGAAGAGGTCGATTTTCCTATGTTTACTCACCCTTATACAGATCATAGTCAGTCGTCGATTTTCCTTATGTTCAAAAATGATACAGCCACCCCGTGTTTCTTGGGTTGAAATTCATTTGCTATGAAAACGATTCGCAGTTATCAGGCTTTCCTCTTAATGTCCCCACAAGAGGAGAAAAGGCAGTTGGCCTCGAAAAAGGGTAGTCTGAAAGAAAAAAGGGAACAGGAATCGTCAAGCAGGCGTAGTGCTCCAGAATGAGTCAAAGCTCCAATACGGGTAACAATCTTTTCTGGAATCCTGTAGGCTATGGAACAAAGAAGAGCTCTGGATGTTCATCTTTGCTTTTTGGTCAAATTAAACTTCGTATTTTGGGGAAACATTTCAATTTCATCGAACAGTGCCCGGAATTCCAGTCTTCTTTCAAATTAAACTTTCAATGGATATTGTTTGGGATGTGTTGAAGATTTCCCGAGGTCATTCTTCAATGGAGAATCAAAGAAACCTTGTTTGTGAAAAGAATTCTTTTGAAAACTGAGACATTTTTTGCTCGAAAGTGTAGCCACGTCCACTGAGCAAATCAGTTCTTTTGTCTGTTGTGTCTTACTTTCTGTTTACTTTCTTTCGAGTTTTTCCTTCCTCATTAAAGGTTTTCCTTTCATAGACTTCTATAAAGCGAAAAACATTGAGAGAAACGTAGACAGAAGGTGGGCCACAACAGTCAAAAGAACAGATCTTGCTCCAGTCGACGTGGCTACATTCTCGAGCAAAAAATGACTCAGTTTTAGAGAGAATTCCTTGTCACAAACAAGGTTTCTTCATTTCCCCACTGAAGAATGACCTGGGAAGATCATCATCACGTCCCAAACAATATCCATCGAAAGATTACAAATTCGAAAGAAGACTGAAATTCCGGACACTGTTTGATGAAATTGAAATGTTTCCCCAAATACGAAGTTAACTTGACCAAAAAGCAAAGATGAACATCCAGAGCTCTTCTTTGTTCCATAGCCTACAGGATTCCAGAAAAGATTGTTACCCGTATTGGAGCTTTGACTCATTCTGGAGCACTACGCCTGCTTGACGATTCCTGTTCCCTTTTTTCTTTCAGACTACCCTTTTTCGAGGCCAACTGCCTTTTCTCCTCTTGTGGGGACATTAAGAGGAAAGCCTGATAACTGCGAATCGTTTTCATGAAGCTAAAATGAATTTCAACAAGAAACACGGGTGGCTGTATCATTTTTGAACATAGGAAAATCGACCTCTTCTGGAAAAATTGGCACAAAATTTTTTAGTGTTTTCGACATGGATTTTTGTGTTGATATCTGAACTCGCCATAAAATTTGTCACATTTTCTATCATAACAGTTTTTCAGAAACTCTATGAACTTTAAGTTTCGAACAAATTTAGGTGGCTGTATCATTATTGAACGCAGTGTAAAATACGAAGATTGGAAGACGAATGTTTGTGGTTCTACTTGTTTCATGTTCAATGTCTATTAGTTCATTGAAATGCTCTTGAATCGTTCCTATTTTTTTCAGGAATCAAACCAAACCAATCACAAAAATTGCAAGTGCCCCATTTGAACAATTGAAACACTGGATATGAAACAAGTGGAATCATGAGCAGTCTCCATTAAACCATAACCATCAAGAAGTGACGGCGGGATTGGAGAACACCTTGCAGTATGGATGGGGCACTTGTGATTTCCGTGACCCGTCGCGCAAATCGCGAAAATCGCGCAAATCGCGCAAATCGCGAAAATCGCGCAAATCGCGAAAATCGCGCAATCGCGCAAAGTCGATCGCGGACTCCGACATCAGCCTATCGGATTCCACTGATTTTCTACTTCTTCGGGTGTCCCCAACAGGCCCACCGCGCGGCGAAGCAAGAGACGCAGACGCGGCAAAGGGACGAGTCGCAGCGCATACTGTAGCGGTTAGGCGTCAGGTTAAAGAGAGTGTACCATACTACGTCTCATATCGCACAGCACGCGCTGCAACTCGTCTCTTTGCCGCATCTGCGTCTCTTGCTTCGCCGCGCGGTGGGCCTGTTGGGGGACACCCCTTCTTCTCGGTTGATGGGACGCGCACTAACTCCAACCGGCGTAACCACACCAGATGACGCACACTTGTTCATGTATTGTTAAAATAAGAGGAATTAAAAGGTGCTTTCATTCGTATTCAAGTAAAGACGGAGGTGACAATTAAACCAGAGCCAATCCACAAAATCAACTGTAGTGATTCAACTATTCCAAAATGCAGACCTTCCTCACTTTTCGAAATGAATAGTAGGACAGTTGCAGTTATGCTTACTGCGTTACTCATGAATACAGTGCTTCATCTTGTGCGAAGCCGTTTTAAGACAAAATGCAGCTCTATTCAAAGACTATTATAACCACACCGGATTCTGGGAGAGAGCTCCACTTTTCTGAGTGAAATCTGATCTGTCTATAGGAACCACAGTGGTTTCTTTCGAAATAACTGACATGTCAGAATTACGCTGAAATACAATGTTAAGCGTTTATATGTATTAACCCTTTCGGACCTGAATTTTTCCCCGTGGAGAAATTTTTCTTCTAGCTATTGTTTATTACTTGTGAGCATATAGGTATCATTATGGCGAAATTTGGAAGCTATTCGATCACAAACAAAGAAACTAAGAAGCTTTGAAAATTGGCCCACCTTCTTAGTTTTTAAGCTTATGTCGAAACAATTCGAAATTTCATAGTTATGCCGAAAAAGTTTATAATCTTGCATAACATTATAACCCATAATTTTGATTTAGGAATGGATCTACTTCAAGTATTTTAAGAAAAAGTCACACTTACTTGGCCGGTTGCGGGGGTCAGCGCCCATTCACTGTTGCACTTGTACACAAATACTTGCAATACTAACAGCAATAAACAATGAAATGGCCGGTTAAGCTCATAATTAGGAAGGGGAAGGTTGACTGAAGCAACCTCTAGCAGGATTAGAAAAACCATGCTGTTTCAGCGGAAATGCAAGCGTTTGAATTTGGTGGTGGCAATTGCCACCGCCAGGGCCGAAAGGGTTAAAGGAATCCAAGACTTCTGAATGTTGAGACACATTTGCAAAAAAAAAAAATGTTGAAATTGCAGCATACTACGTCTTCGCAGAAAAGAGCTTCGTCGATCGGAAGAGAAATAGCCGCTAATTCGAGCTTGATCACTTTTTTTCTCTTTTTTTTTCTCTATTGTTTTCTTTTGTTTGTTACTTGTGTTACAAAATTCACGGTTTTTTTCCTATTCTCCGCTTTCGAAAATGTTGTTCAAAAGTTCGGTGAATAGATCTCCGCAAGTTCTGCTGTGACTGCCACTAGAAGCAATTCACTAAACCACATAAATGCCTTCCAGAGTTTCTTTTTTTTTCGGATGTTTGATGTCCTCTAGGCGGGTCAGAAGCTGAATTGTTAGGGGTAGGGAATACCTAACATCCGAAAATTCAGCTTCTGATTCCTCACACGTCTTCTTGTCTAGGAGTGGCGTTCTCCCTAGCGCCATCCGCCATTGACTTTTGACTGTAGTTGACTGTAATTGGCTTAGCTCTAACTCAAGGCTGAGCTCGAATAAGGCTTTTATATCGGTGGTCTAGTGGACAATATTCACTGTCTTCACTTCAGGTGGAGGACTTTTCACCTGCTTTTGAAATGGTCTGTTTTCACAGTGTTTCTGTGATACTGATCTGTGTGTATTTAGGTAATAGCGCATCTAAGCATGCAATAAATAAATAAATAAATAAATAAAAATGCCACAGACGGAAAAGGCAAGGACGGTAAACCAGGCTCTCATTTTAGGCGAAAGATGCTGAGAGGCCCTTCCAGTATACGTAACCTACGAGGGGTATGCCATTCCCTTCCTTCCAAACAAGAATGTGCCTTGATCTCTGTTCCATTATTATGTTTAATGATGAACCATCATTGCCCGTGAAGCCTATGGCCAATCTAGTCCCGATATCCATTTCTGAGCAAACCATAAAAAGTTGTATTCTGCCTTTACCGGTTTATTCTTTTTCGCTTTCGCCTCGTTTTTGAGCTTCTTCATGTAGCTTTTGTAGACGTCCAGTGGCAACTCGTCGTAGGAGCCTCGTGCTAGAAAAGCATTTGCCTAACTTGGTGAGGTCAATGGATCTGTCCAGACTTTTGCAGTAAGGTGTACATCATTGCATTCGGCTTAAAGCAGTGAGCTCAGATGTTCGTCCGCTCTGCCGAATGATGCTTAAACAGTTGACAAAATGGGCGTCTCGACTTTTTTGTCCGCGAGAGGCCGGCCACTTCTTTACATTTATGAAACACCATATTTCGCTGTAATGGTTTCAAAGTATTTTCGGACATAGATTGGCTTAAATTTGAAAACGTATATCATGCAATGCACAGCTTTGTATTCACTTCCAGTGCTCTTTTTTTATCTACATGATTATGCTAATCAAAAGAAATTGTGGAATGAACAGAATGATTGTAGCTCATTAGTAGGCTTTACCAGTGAGCCACGCCGTCCATAATTATTACGTAAGGGTTTTAGATTGAACACAACAGAAAACTCGGGAAGAAGTTAGTGGTGAGCGAAAAAAGGAATGTACGAGTGCGGCATACATATTTGCCACAATGTCGCCAATGTGTTAAACAGAACCAAGGTTTTTCCCGCAATGTTTAGCATGCTATCCTTACCGAAAGCGCCTTTACCTGCTCACAAAGTCCTCTTACGAGCATTTGTAGACAAGCAATAATGCAGCAATTTCAAAAGTTTTTTCTCTGGTTAAGCTGCCAACAAGATCAAAGAACAAACCATTCAGCAGGGAGCTAATCAGCTACCTTCTGCCTCTTAGCGCGCACCATTACCACTGTACATTTCTGCTTTATACCTCTTAAAGGACGAATTCACGATGAAAAAGCAACCCATTTCAAATTAACCTAGGGATGGTGAGTGGTACACGAAAGAAGGAAAACCATGAGAAACGGCCCAGAACCCGAGAAATGGACCCCTTCCTTGCCCGTTGATTCGAGCATTGATGCGACTCTCATCGCTGTGCCCTCTTCAACACTACGCTCTCTCAGCTATCTAATCACTCGCCACGTATTGAACTACGGCGAGTGATCAGATGATCGGTGGGCGGAGATCGCCCCGCCAGCTTTGAGGCATGATAGGTCGCCGAGGTCAAATTTTTCCATGCGAATTGCGCGTCAGTTCGCACCCTCAGGAGGTCCGTGGGTCCCTCAACTAGGTCAGTTTCCCTTTCTTCGACCTTCATTCTAATCGTGAATTCCTCCTTTAAAGAAATGTACATCAGAAATGGGAAGCATTTCTGAGCTCATCGCTTCAAGGCGACTGCAACGCTGTAAACAACATTTCAAACGGCCGGGTCGGCCTATTGACATTTCTTGGTAGGGCGATTTCATCTCGTAATGACATCACTATTAAATAACTCTAGCACAACTTGAACAAAAGTAAACTTACCACGTAGGTCATGACTGGTAAACAGCTTTAAAGGACGGATGTGGCGATACTCCGGTACGAACATTGGTTCCAATCTGTACGCCACAGGATCGTAAGGATGGAAAATATTGAAAATCCGCTCCACCTGTAGTCCAGACATAAATAACTATAGAACACATCAAGGAAAACAATAGCCTTGCCTACATTCATTTTGGCTGGTAACAGATCAGCATGAGTGGCACCACGCATTACCAGAAACACAGCAAGAGGACTTCCAATGGCGAATAGATACTTGACCTGAAGTAAAGTTCATGAGTATCTGAAAAAAAACAATCTTTATCATTTAATCAAATAATTAAATAAGAAAAAAAAACTAAATAGCAAGCTAATAGTATGGAGTAACCTTGAACATTAACTCTTCATCATTGGACTGGAGCATTTTGTTGATTCCTCCATCAATTTTTTCATACAATCTGAAACGGTGAAGACTGGAAACCTGGCAAAACAAAATGCTAAAACACAAAAAAAAAAATTACGAAAACAAATGCTAGTGAAGCAGATTAAGGTTAAAGACAAAGTCCCATTCAACTTTATGCTTTTCGAAGAACCTAGGATGAACTCAAGAAGGGTTAAAGGAAAATGTTTAATAGAAGAGTGTATGATTTACTTGTGATGTGTTGATTACTAGCAGAAACTGCTGATCACGGAAGAGTCCGCAAAAATTTTTACCCGGAGCACGTCAGCTGGGCACTTAATAATGCATGCCCTATTGACAGGTGAGAGATAATCTGTACCACTAAGTAGTTCGCAAAGTATTATTTCCATTCGGACCTGAGCTGAGTAAGCGAGTCGCGAGAGCTGAACATTTTAACAACAGATGCCTGTCTGAGTTATGGGTTACATTTTACGGTCGCGGAGGAATACGGGTAGAGCACAAAAAATCTCTAATGAACGCGATTTTAACCGCGAGTCTCAACAGTAAGCTATCGAAGTATGTAGAAACTATAGATGTTGATCGAATCAGACTTTGCCTTACAGAAAAAAACCTACGCATTTCTGGCTTTCTGAAAGGCCTTCAAAGCTTCAATATTTTCAGGATCAGTGCACTCCTTTAGATGTATATCCTTAACAAATAAAAGTTGGTCAAACTTGAAAAGTGATGGTAAAGTGTAAATCACCTCACCATAGCATGCGTAACATATTTGTCATAAAGCTGGAAAGGAGACCACCGCAGAAGAATATCGTAGATGATGACAGATCCAAGGGAATGTGCAAATATTGATACCGGACCAGAAAAGTTCGGATTATTCTCCGTAAAAAGTGTGTAAATACGGTTTAGTTGACGAACAACACCACCCACAATCTGAAACTCAGCGCATGCGATCTCGGAATAGTATCATTGGGTAAAAAAGCAACTAAAAAGCAAATCGATACCTCCCTACGATAGAGAGGACTTTGGTAATACATAAGATCCATTGCAGTACTGTTGAGAACATTGCGCATGCTGCTCATTTTTGGCAATGTTATAACATCAGTTATTCCATCGTCTTAACAACTCATTGAAACAACAGAAAATTAATAGATAATTTTGGCAAGATTCTACCTAGCTTCAAAATTGATCTCCACTCCACAGGTAGAAACATTGGGCGCCCTTTTTCCTCAGGATAGCAGCGTTCCAATGCACCGACGACGGCCTCACGGACTCTAAAAAGGTGGAACGAGACATATCCTGAATCATTAGTTGTGCGCAGTGACAAGAAACTAACTGCTGCGCATTTTCAGCGATGAGGTTCTCATATCCCTTTTGTCCGATGCCGTGAACAACGAGTATGAGATGGCTTATTTCAGCTGGTCCATCATCCCATTCGGCTTCTTTGTGGAAGCCGCGGCGTAGTGCTTGGCTCTTCCCCCAGCCAATATACCTGAAGAGCGACATTTTTCATTAACTATTTCAACAATGTCCCTGAATAAGAGAGGACTTAAAACCTTCTTTGCAAGTGAGAAATGTTTAAAACAGTGATCCATAAACGCAAAAGATATGTCTACTTTGCCTACTTTGAGCCAATTATGCACAGCGACGGCGCCTAAAAGCATATGTTTTTCAAATGACTCCATCCGTTGCAGGTAATTCCGTCCCAAAAATGACACAGCTGACCGACCTAGTCTGCGTCTCGGCCGCCTCTCTCTATCCTCTCCGTCTCCTCGATGCCTGCTCTCAATCGTGCCAGTCTCCTCCCGCCCCGACGCCCAACGACTGATGGCCGTAAGCTCATACAAAAATCAAAAATGAGTGCAAAAAGCTTCACCTTAATTATAGCACTTTCGGCCGTTCCTTTTGCTCAATGCTCATCGGCCGGCCACTTAGGAACACACAAAACTCAAACCACAAATTCCACCAACCCCTTCCCTACTTTCAGGCAACGCAAACTACCTTCTACACCCTGATAGCTGTGCAATAAAAGGCTTTCGCCTAAATGCCCACCACAATCCAGATAAGCGATAAGTAACCTGTTATAATCAGATCCCAAAAAGGATAACAGGAACCACCCCGTCCCCAATAATGACCCCAGTATTCAAGTGAGGTCAACTGAATATTTCTCGTCTTGATACAAAAGCAACATTAACATTAGAGGAGCCACAAGCGAGAGCAGCTGCACATATATGCATCCATGCATACATATGACAAGATGAGCACTCACCTCAATATCGCTCCCCTTTTGAAAGATAGTGACACATCTATGACTGAACTCCAACGCACTTCCATCCCATCTAATTGTAGCTCGGTTAATTCTAAAATGCAACATACTTGCATAATGTCGTAGAGAAGCATGAATGGGGAGAAAAACTGACGCGCGGTTATTACTAGTTTCCTTTGGAGAGAAAACCGTCAGCCCTTCTGGAATTGCTTGACCTCTGAAGTACTGTAAATGATGCCTTCAAATGGCTCCGCCACCGGTTTCTAAAGGGTTTCCAGTCTTAAAAAGAACACTAGTTTCTACTAAAGAAATCTCCGTAACAAAGAGTGAAATAAACAAAGTGAAGGATAGAACTAACTGAATAAACGCATGTCCCCTCTCCTTATCTCACAAATCATCCTTCCATATACTAGCCTCCACTTTGTTGAGTTCATCGTTTGCTCTAAAACATAAGAGACAGAATCATATGAACAAAAGCTGAGAAAGAGTGCAATATCTCTCGTTCTAATCAACAAACGCTGCGTGCTGTGCTGAAGAAATGACCCATCCAATTTTAATTTCTTTCCCATTCCAACTCACCCCCCTAAGTACATAAATTGTGAGCCATAATCTACGGCATAATCAAGCCCACCAGTACGATGTCCTTGGGATCACCTCAGCTTCTCACAACAGAAGATATCGCTTCATGCTTCACCTTTCTGAGGTTACACTATCATTGAATTAAATATAAAAAAGTTATCCCGGTAATATTGTTGAAAACATTTTGTGCAGCCGAACGCTGAACAAAATAACATGACAGATTCTTGCGCAATCAGCCAAATAGCCTCTAAAAATGCACCTCTAGCATGCGGCAGGCCAGCTACTCAAGGCTCTAGCTTTGAGGGAATATAATCCGTGGGCCTTTGAGCAACTTACCACTCTTCTCTCGTCTGCTCTCTCCACAAGCTTCGTCCAACAGCCACTACCAATGGGCCATAACCCGCTAGCCTCCTTCAACACACGCCACCGCCCATTGCCAAAAAGAAAACAAAACAACAAAATCAGCAAGAGCGCGGATGAAGCCGCATATATTTCAAGACTCATAACTTAGCAGAGCTCTTGAAGCGGACTGGATCAGAACTACCCAAATATGAACCACAGTTCTCCAACGTTTTCAACATGATTGGAAAGACACCCCCACTTATACAAGTCCTTCCACACACCACCACCATGACTGCCTGAACGTGAAGCCATGTTCAAGGAGTTCAACAGTCATTTGATCGTCCAAGGGAATACTGAAGACTGAGCGATATTTTGCTTCCAAACACAGAGAATCTCTTCCTGAAATAGAAAATATTTATCATTATGAGCAATTCATACTGAAAGCATTGAAAGTACCATTAAAATTGATCCATTTATCAGCTTCGTTTCGTCGATAAAACCACCGTACTTCAGCGCATCGGAAATCAGTAACCCTGTGAAGACCAAACAGAAATCCGAGTGCTCGCGTCATCCTAATAAAATGAAGTTTCTAGGAACATATGTACACACACCAATTCACAACAACAACACATCCATTCAAAACCTCCGGAACGTTCAACAGCCGTAATATACATACAGTTATTAACGAAGAATAGGAAGGGACTTGATTCAAGATCGATCAAGAAACGATTCGACAAGACAGCTCCTAATATTAACTATTCAAAACACTTCCGCTACGTCGTCAGATCCGTTCCAAAAAAAAAATCGGCAACTGCAAATATTTATCATGATTAGCCTAACTAAGCCTACTTTAACGACGCACTCTAGAAAACATCGCCGGAAGACCGCCTTGAAATAATAACCTAATTTAAGAAAAAAATTGGCCCCCAAACAGCTTCACGAAACATCGACGCCGCGGGCGGCAAATCTAGGGCAATGTCGCTGCCCAAGTCTCTCGTAATCGCGAAACAGTGACCTTCATGAGCCATTCTTGAGTTTCCAACAGCAGTATATGGAAACAAAAGAATTACTGCTGGCTTAGTGAGAAATACTAACGCCCTCCACTGTTGCCTGCGTTAAACTATGAAGATACAAACCTACGAATGAGATCCTACATCCTCGACTGACTCCTCCAAAAGCCAAGAAACAAGAGTCCATGAAGGAGATCACTTGATGAAACTTCAAGATAACCACTGCTTGTAAAGGCGAGAGTGGAATGCTTCGCAAGATCGTTAACGTGAAAAGGACACATAGCCCGATGTGCCAACACCACGGAAGGAAGTAATGGTAAGTCAAAATAAGTCAGTGATAATGACCTACTGTTTGCCCGTTGATTCGACCGAATTGTTCCAAGGTTCCGACAACTAATACTCTTGTGTTCGGCTGCACTATCGCTGCTATCATCCTTGATCTTTTTCATTATCTGGCGTCAGGCTTCCCGAATCCAGCGAATCGAGGGGTACAAGCGATGCGCGAGCAGTTCGAACGATGCATCCGCGACTCGACAGTAAGTGGCGGGAATCTCACTCATTCGCAGGCTGACTCTCCCCACTTTCAGACACTATTGAGTCGTTGTGCATTGTTTGAACCGCCAGGGCATCGCCTGAACCGCTGACGCACTTCGCTGGATTACATATCAGCCTTAACTTGACATGTTGAGGGCTCCACATCCTCGTACGTCCGATACTCGGAACAAATTTTCTAGCACAAACCTTATATTTCAGTGAAATTTTGGAGATCATAATGCTCAGTGCCTCAGCCAGAGAACGACAGGCCCAAAATTAGGCCGACTGCCTCCACCGTAGTCACGACTACCCATTTTTCCTCGCGTAACCTCATATTACCTCATTGTACTACAAGTTTGTAAAGTTTCAAGTCTATCAGTTAAGTAACAAAAACGAAGTTCTACGCTCAGCCACCGCATCATCTTATGTAGTAAGTGTGTTACAGCGTGAAATTTGCCCAGTGTACCTAGCCCGATGTTTGAAGAGTCACAATCGTCCATTCTCACAAGGGTGTTGCCAGTGACTCATGGGTGGAATAATCTACTCTTATGAGAAAACTTGTATGACTAAAACGGCGGGAAATGACACTTAACAAGATCATCTCGTCACAATTGTTTAATAACTACAGACGCATTACCTCCTTTGTTTCACCCTCAGGCAGTGAAATCGAAACCACTTGCGTAGCAGCATCTACCAAATTTTGGGCTCGGCAATCATTCATAGACCAACCACTCCTTGCGGAGCTCATAGCAAATGAAACACACTAGTATCGCAAAGCTACCACAAATAATTGATCTCTTCATCTCTTGCATTTGAAGCATAACTGATAAAAAAAAGTTTTCAGAAGTGCTTCGAATAATCTTCGGTGCAAGATAGGCAAAATTAAGCGCCGCTTGTTTTACGATAATATATGCTTCAATTTTGCGACAGTTGTAGTTTACGTTTCAAACTGCCCACAATAGCAACCAAAGCACATGCCTCAAGATAGTGCTAGAGGAAAAGAAATAATTTCTGACCCAGCTCATAACTGTTGCACGTTTGCGCCACAAAAGTAGAGTCACTACATACCGTTAAACAAGAATGCTACCGAAGGCTCGAAATGGAAGGGATGGAATGGTCGACCCTAGTGAATATTCGGTGGCAACTAGTTACGCCAAGTACTTATAACCGCTTCTGCAGTAGAGGACCCCTCGCACAGAAGATGGGATCCTTACTATATAAAACAGAATCTAACTAAAGGACTTGCGAACAATGACCGTTCAGGAGCTATACAAGAATTGGTTTAAACGAAGAAAATTCAAAAGCAAATGCAATTAAAAAAACTCACTTTTCCTCTTTTTATGTTCGAGCGCGCCGGAGACAGGAGGGCTGATGAGCTGCAGAGATCGTTCTTTACCGCCGGCGATTTGCTTGATCTCGAGGTACTGGGAGGCGAACTAGTTACTGACTCGTCGCATACTATGGATGGAGGAGGAGCCGTCGTACTTTTGTCCGCTGTTTCTTCAGGGGTGGGACTGACGGGTTATCCACAACAGATGAAGAGGGAGGAGTAGATGACACCTGATAATGGATGACCACAATTTTAGCATTTTGCACAGCGTAAGAATCAAATGAACTGTCATTGTAAGCATGACAAATAAAAACATTACGTAGACATTACATTCATGAAAGTCTATAAAGCTAAAAATAATTGCGGGAAATTTCCAACAAAAAGAAAACCACTTTCTTCATTTTTAGATTTTTAATGAATGAAAGGTAAATCTGTTTTCTCAAAGGGAAAAACTATTGCTAACAAAAGTACCTTCTCTGATGTTGAATTATTGTTATCCAGCTGATTTCTGCTTTCCTCCACTGAATTAGTAGCGACTTCAGAAGGTGCATGGTCCGTGTTGTGAGTATGTTTCACGTCATCGTAGGACTTTTCGGGTACTTTTGGAACCTCCTCAGTATTCATGCTACAGCAGCACTTTCACCTGAAACATATATTCTTTTATTCTGTCAAAATCAAAACTGTATAACAACGCGCACGACATACAAAGCGACAACGCTGAAATTTCTATCCTAGGTATGTCTAAACTGTAATAAAATAGACCTATAATCGATGCGAGCACGAGCGCTATAGAACATAGATACATCTACAAAACAAACAAATCTGAGCGGAAATTCCCGCAAATGAGCGAATGATAAGATAGCGGTGGTGAAGAGGTCATACAAGAGAACACTGGGAAGAAGAGCTTGAAAGTTTCATGACTTTTCCACCGGTCGTAAATGACCGTGTGTGTGCTGGGTCGCTCTGCAGCCATTTCTTCGTCGATTTCTTCGAGGAACGTTTCTTGTTTCACGGCGTGAATCGTGTAATAGTAGATACCGACGACAAGGCAGAGTAGCACCGCCATAGCGATATGGTTCTTGTAATTCTTCGCAAACAGCTCCTTTATTCGCTCCTCGTTCACCTGAACAAGAGCCTATAGCGAACATGTAAAAGATCTGCCGCAGTCTCCATTCAAAATATAACTTTTGCTGGGAACAAAATGGTTTTTTTAAATGGTGAAATATCACTACTGTGACAGAAAGGCAATGGCATACATTGAACTGGCACCACA